TTGGGGGTAGTCTGGTAAATATAAGACGGTCACAACGTGACGGAACAAGGAGTAATTGAACTGCAGTCGGAGAATGTGTGAGGAAATGAGTAATTGAATGTATGCGGACAGAATATTGTTGGCCACGTGAGACGTGAATTATAGCGTTTGTTATAGAGCGACTGTTGAAATTAAGTATATCGTAAAGTTGTATTCACAAAGAATAAACCAGTTTTATTTAAGAAAGGACTTGTGTCGCTAAAGTTTAGTCGGAAAGAATTTACGGAAAATTAATTAACGAACGGAGACGTAACACTGTTTTATCAACATTATGTTATTCCAGTCTATAACATGAGATGCTTCCGCTACATGTTCTATTAATACCAATTCATTTACTTTGTATTTTACTACCGCGTTTTCATGTTCCTTGATCATGCATTTTAAATTTTACTCGTTTGGCCAATATAAATTCGACCACAGGAACAAGAAATTTTATATATTCCACATTTATCAATTTCTTCTATTCTATATTTTGTACTAGTGAGAGTATTTAATTTAAAACGCGGAGAGAATGTTACATTAAATTCTATGTATCTTTTTCATTATGTTACCTATTTTTGTAGATGAGCCTTGAACATATGGTAAACACTCTCATGTTATGTACTTTACATTTCCCCTCTAACCTTGTACATGTTAACATTCTTAATTTATTGATATGTTTATGATGCAATCTATCAATAATTTCGGGTGTATATCCTCTATATATGGCCACATGTTTTAAGAAACTTAACTCTGCTTTCACATCACAATCATAAGTGCATATTTTTAAGGCTCTATACAGAAATGTGGAAAAGGTGGATAGTTTGTGTGTCCAGGGGTGACACGATCTATTGTGTGGTGGTACCGCCACAGAAAATGGCTTTCTATAAACAGAAGTTAAGTCGACTTTTGTCCCGTATGACGATCATGTCTAAAAATTTAGCTGACCATCTTTTTCCATCTCTGATGTAAATCTGATGGTAGGACTGATTGAACTAAGATGTTTTTCAAATTCTAACAAAGTCCCAACGTCATTCTGCCACACTAAGAACGTGTCATCTACAAACCTTAACCACACTAAAGGTTTCACCTCAGATGTGTTAAACATCTTCATTTCAAAAATAAACATAAATAATTCACATAAAAGGTGACAGAGGAGACCCCATTGCTAAACCCTTAATCCCACCTTAAAATATGCGTTTGATATGCACTCATGATACACGTATGTAGTCATTTTAGGAGAAGTCCCTGTTTTTATATAACTATTTATTGTATAAGATTTTAACGTTTTATTCCTTTTAATTGTAAATATTAAAAGCATATCAAAGTTTTTAAAAAAGTTCTAATGTTGGGTCGTAGAGTAACATAATAAGTTTATATATCGATAGTATTAAGTACGATAAAGTTTAGTTTTAACTAAACTAAAACAAAAAACGTACAAAAGTTAGCATTAATTTATCTCTAACGAATATAGGCCGTACTTTATAAAGGCTTAACTAATGTTGAGTCTAAGAGAAGAGAATTTATAGATTTCGATGTCTGCTATTAGAATTATTTTGTATTATTCTAGTCCTGTATATAAGACGTATAGTTGCAATACCGATACGAATCTGACTGCAAATCTTTTGCGGGTCTATACTAATATATTGTTACGACAGCGTAATTAACAAACGCCCAGAGACGTAACAAAATATTAAAATAAGTTGTATAATATTTTCGTAGTTTTTCATTTATAACAATATTCGGTATTTTAAGTGCCTTTCCTACTGTCCCTTAGCACGGTTTTTACTTAAATAAACTACATAACGTAAGTTTTTAATAATTTCACTTTAACCTGTTGTCTGCAGCGTTGGACTGCTTCTACCTAAGACCTTGTCTTTATATAGGTCTGCTTGTTTCACAGCCGAACATGCGCTGATAAATATTACTCTGTACGATGCGTATTGTTTTATTAGTAGAAATGTAATAACAAAGGCTACGTTTTTACCATCAGACGCAAAGAATCCAGAAGAAATGGAAAGAACAAAGAAATAGCTACATAACTTCGGAAGAGAACTCCATTATGACATTTCTTTTTGAAAAAACAGTGTTGTGTTGTTGTTGATTGTTTCGAAGTGGGTTTACAGACTTGGTTTATGAATACAAAAACTCTTGTAGAAGGGGCAGTACTGTCACTTATCAGGCATAATCATCTTCCTCCAAACCAAAAGAGAAGAATGACTGGACACAGGGAGAAAGAGAAAGTATTTTAGACTATTATTATTATTATAAATTCCTTTGAAATACAGGCATACAATTGATATATTCTATAGGTCTAATTATGACTACAATAGAAAAGACTTCATTTGTTACGCTGTTCCAAGGTAAGTAAGCAATTATCAATTTTGTTCCATCGGTATTTTGTAAACAGCATGTATCATTCCCTTCCACCAAGCAAAGAGAAAAAAGAACAACCGTATGCCAGGAGAAAGAAAAAAGTATTTCAGACTAATATTTTGGGAAACGTTTCTCCTCGCTTCTAAACTCGTATGAGGAGGAATGGGTGAGTATGCTGTCAACGTTTGTACGTCACGAACTGGAGCGCAACCTAACAAGTGTGGTGTTACCCATGAAATTGCGACAGTAAATAGTCTCACATTCATTAACCCGTTTTATCGTCACTGTAACATAATTATTTTCTTAACCAACACATTTAATTAAACAGACATAATACTTTCTTCTACAGATTAAACATATCAGTGGCAGAGTTCAACTTCCTCTTTAAGTATGAGTAATGAAGTTAATTGTATACCACATGAATGTAGAAGATTCGATATTATTTTAAATGAACTGTGACATAATTATTTTTTGCTAGTTACGTTAAGTTACGACAGCGGAAGTCATGCAACGCTGGGAGCATGCGCGCTGGAGTTTCTTGAAGGATTATGAATTTTCCTGGCAACTCTAATTTGCTCCAGGCGCCCTCTTTTTTTAGTATATAAGCCCGGCAAATAAAGCCAGCCAGCGAAAAATATAGAACTGCATAGATAGATAGATATAGAGATAGATAATTGAGTCAAACGAACAGTAGGCACCGCAAGTAAAGTGTGTGAATCGCTGTGAATTATAGCGTGTGTTTATAACAGTAGTTAAGTTAAAGTGACTGTGGAAATTCTTTGTATTACAAAGTTGTATCGAGAAAGAATAAACTAGTTTTATTTAAGAAAGGACTTGTATCGCTGAAGTTCCTCGGAAAGAATTTATACCGGAAATTAGCAAACGAACAGAGACGTAACAGTTATTTCTGAAAAATTTTGAAAGACTCTTCCATAATTTCTCGAAACTGACATGTGAAACAAAACCCAAAATTAAAATAACTTCAAAGATATGTGGGTTTGTCAATTGTTTTTAATTTATGTACGGAAAATGTTAAAGATTATAATATTTGTTTCTGATTAATTAGTATATTCTAAATTCAAAAACAAAAATAAATAAAAATTCGTAAATATATATATACTTTACATGATTCTTCAGCTTGTCATAACCACCAATTTATCCCCAAGATACGTGTAGCATTTTACTTGCTTGTCATTTCATTCATAAAACTTTGTTAATTATAAAATTCAATGATACTATCAGCTGTTCAACACTAGATACACCATGGTGATTAGCTTAAGTGAATCATTTTATCAGGTTTTTCAATATTTTGTGTGCTTAAGAGTAGGTAAGAAAAGTGAGCCATTTATGTTTAAAGCTTTTTAAATAATTTTTTTGTTTACCATTATACAAGTACAAATTAGTTTAAAACGGATAATGGTAAAATAGAATATAAGGCCTACCATTAGAAATTGTGTGGTTCCATAAAAGCTTGGAAACCTTTTCACCATCCAGGTAGTCACCACCTTCTGTTATTGTCTTGTTCACAGCCCAAGCATACATAAGAACACAATCGTAGAAACCCGCCAGAAGGATATTGTTCTAAATACATCAAAGTTTTATAGAGTAATGTTCACAACACTAGTCGTCTAACAAGAAACAAACTTATCTTAGCCGTTAGTGTTAGCTATTTATCAAACTAAAACCCATCAATATTCTTAAAATAATTCAAAACCCCAACTCCTAAATGCCCATTTGATAATAAATATAAATGCGGTAGAAAAATCAGCGCATTAAAACAGACTCCTGACGAAATAAGCTACACTGAAATATAAATAAAAGTGCAAACACTAAACTACCATCGTAAAGTGTAAACGAAACGTCATGCATATAAAACCTACGAAATTCTATTGTTAATAATTATAAGATTATAAGAAGCTCAATACTACACATTAACTTCACTGCTTAAAGTAAAAATGTCCCTTCTGTTGTATGGGGGGGGGGGACATTTGTCATGTACCAAAATATTTTCCTCTGATGGAGACTACAAGCGATAATATTATTGCATAAGAGTTCTTGAGAATATCAAACTAAAATTTAGAGACGGTAATTTTGCTCAGAATTTTA